AATTTTGATTGAATTTGTCAGCCCTAATTGAAAAATACTGCTATTTAATGTCTGCATTGCAGTTGCAGATCAGGCCGCCTTTAATGAGATCGTGTCCCAGTGACCCTGAGGGGGGGGGGGTATCCGTGCATGCCCTTGACTCAGCCCAGGAGGGATGGGATGTAGGGGGGGGGTCCGGTGGGAGATCCGCTGAGGGTCAGAGGTCACCCGTGTCCTCCCTCTCTTCCTGTGATGTGTTGCGACGCCGGTGGCATCGACGAGGTTTGCATTAATTGATGAGGAAGCCATTACAGGATTCATTAAAACGAGTTTGATGCCGACGCAGGAGCAAATATTGTGATTTAAAGCTCTGCGACTTCACAGCTCCTCACCAGGAGCTGAGGACGAGACGCGGCGTTTGCTTTACACACCGCGGAGAATCAAGTCAGGATGTTGATGATGGAATTAAAGGATTTCTGTGCAGATGCAGATGTGACTGTTTGTCACCATGGTTACGGTTCACACCTTCACCAATAAGAAATCTCTAAAAAAAAAAGACTGATTCACATTAAATTTGTTGGATTTAAATCTGAAATCTGTTAAAAACAAGGACTTCTAGCTCAGATACATGGAGCGGTTCTGTCAGATGTTCAGACCGGATCAAGTACTGGACTCAACTACAAGGCGGGGGGGGGGGCTGTAGAGAACTGGACCTCTACTGGTGTTCAGGAATTTAAGTTCTGACGCTGAGTCTCTATGAAACAGGATGAAATGTCAGTTCATTGGTTCTTTTTGGACGTAAAGTCTGTTTGAATTAGTTCTGCTGGACAGGAGTGAAGATATATTTACTTCTGCTCTCGTGTCCTGTGGTAATTATTCATTCATCTCCTGGTACCTGCTCAGTCTGGGGCAGAAAATAAAAACTGATTTCATGTATTTTTTAGATCAAAATCCTGTTTGAATTTCAGCTGATGAAAACTTTCAGAGATCGTGGTTCAGATTTTATTTGTTCATTTCACCCACCTCCTGGCCTCAGCGTGGGGGAGGGAGAGGGTGTGTGGGTGAGGGAGGGGGGTGTGGGTGAGGGAGGGGTAGCTAAACTCTGGCCATCACACTGCTGAAGATGATGAGTTCAAATACCTGTGGAGATTTTTTATTAAACATATCTCCTTCATCATGAAACATCTGCAATGCAATGGGGTGGGGGGGTGGGGGGGGCATTCTGTTTCCGCTCTGATTTTATTTTGAAAGTCCTGACTGGAAGTTGTGGTTCCTCTCTTTCCGCTGCTTTGACGCTTCCACAACAGTCACATGTTGTACAGCGACTGATTTACTGACCTCTGTTATTTTCTTCATATCACACCTTCAGAATAAAAGCTCAAAATAGCTTGAAATAAAGTATTGCGGCAAAATCGCTAAAGAGGAAGTGATTCTGTGGGAAACTGTTGCTGCTCAGAGTGAGATCGATTTTGTTCATTTTTAAAAATCAGATAATGAAAATAATCAGGCGAGTTTCGGCCCACGCCCGTTGCCGACCTCTGGTTTATGAGATAAAAGATGTAGCTCGTTCCCACGTCACCTCAGTTTCCTCTCCTGACCAAAGATGGCGACAAAGTCCAGACAGTCGTAAACAGAACTTCATCATCATCATCATCATCATTTCCTCATGTGGAAACTACAACATGGAGATTGTAGTAAAATGGAAAATCAACTTGAGTTAAAAAGCATCTTGTTTTAGCTGCCCCTCCCCCCACTGGTTCAGTGATGACGATGTGTACTCCAGGACGCTGTGACATCACCGTTTGTTTATAAACAACTTGAAAGTCAGTAATTCCTGCAGCTCAGGACGTCGCCGTCATCGTATAAAAATTCACTCATTTGTGGAGCCACAGATTTAAATGATTCATCCAAATTTGTTGCCAATTAATTTTCTGTCAATCAACTAATCAACCATCTAATCTCTGGAGGGCTGGATAATGAAACTGTCATGGTGGACCTCAACAGGGGCCCATAACAAGCTTTTGCCCCGGGGCCCCTGAGGAGGTGAGTCCTGCCCTGGTCTCTACAGAGAGGAGTGTTTCCTGCAGATCAGAGCTGGATCCACTTCACTGTTTTCTGTTGTTTCTTGGTCATAAGAAGGTTAGGACACACACACACACACACACACACACACACACACACACACACGCACACACACGGGAGCTGGAGGTCAAACACCGATTATTTACTGAATATATTCAGCTTATTATTTACAACGATGTGTTTTCACATTCTTAAATGGCCCGTGGTCCCAATTTGTGTAATTGGCGTTCATCCAGGAGACCAAAGGCGACCTGCGACGTCATCTCCGTCAACCAATCAGAGGACGGAGCGCGGTGACGGGGGCGGCGCTCTCGCGGGGAAGACAGCGCAATTAAACAGAGGGGAGCGCAATTTAAATCCAAAACATCTCTGGACGCGCGCTGAGCAGGAAACACACACACACACACACTCTCTCTCTCTCTCTCTCTCTGAGCCTCAGCGGGTGAGTGTAGGAGAAGTGTCCGCTGCAGTGGTATCGGTGTCCGGTCAAGTTGAAGTGGAGCAGGACGCTCATCTCTCCAAAGTGCGCACGGCGCGTCAGCGGAGCGGCGGAGAGACGCAGACCGGAGCAGCGCGTCGTTCATGGTGAAATATTCCGGTGGAAACTTAAAGAGTTGATTTTTCCTCCTGACTCTCTTCCCCCTGCTGCACCAATGGAATGGTTTTGTTTAATCGGATTATCGCTCCTCTGAACTCCGGTGTCCTCACAGAGGCGGTGACTCCCGCGGCTCCACCGGGGGTCTGTAGTCTCCCCGCGGCCGCCCACAGCGCTCCTTCTCCGGTCTCCTCCTCCGAGCTCCAGCGGTCGTTCATATGAGCGCAGCGTTCAGTCCGTCCTTCATGGTGATGCAGCGGCCACTCGGAAGCACCACCGCCTTCAGCATCGACTCTCTGATCGGGGGGCCCCCGCAGCCCAGCCCGGGACACTTCGTCTACACCGGCTACCCGATGTTCATGCCGTACCGGTCGGTGGTGCTCCAGCCGCCGCCTCCGCCTCCTCCAGCCCTGCAGCAGGCTCTCCCCGCCGGCCACCACCCGCACCCGCAGATCCCCAGCCTGCAGAGCGGCTTCTGCTCCAGTCTGGCGCAGGGCCTGACGCAGGGCATGGCGCTCACCTCCACGCTCATGGCGTCGCTGCCCGGCGGATTCTCCCCGTCCCAACAGCACCAGGAGGCCGCCAGGAAGTTCGGCTCGCAGGCGCTGCACGCGGTCTTCGACAAGGCTCAGGAGCTGCGGCTGGACGCGGAGGACGGGAAGAGCTTCCTGCAGGGGAAGGAGTCCGCGGCTCTGCAGGCTTTCCACGACACGGACACGTCGGTGCAGACATCCACAGGTAGGCGGCTTCCTCATCCTCATCACCCCGGAAAAAAACGCTCAAGGTCCGGGTTCAATAAGGCGCAACTGGAGGGAAAGAACCGGAGCCACAAACTTCAGATGTCCATGTTTGTCTTTTAATATTTAATCTCGAAATATTCTCCGTGTTTGCGCTTCAAGCTGAGGACGGCTTCTTTTTAAATGTCTCCGCGGTGACTTCAAAGATTTCAATCGACAATATTCACGTTTTGTTGAGATCAATCGAAATAAATAGAAACAGAGAGAAAAGAAAGATTTGAATCTTTCACCTGAGACAGAAGATGTCACTCGTTAAAATAAAGTTATATTTAAAGGATAAATAAAAGGCGGTGAAATGTGTTCAAATATCTTTATTTCTACACTTTTGAACAATTTCACTTTGATACAAAAGACGAGATAAAAAAATGAAAACATTAATAATCAGCTGGTTTTCTGAAGATCCTCTTCTCCGCTTGTGTCTTTAAATATTTCTTTATTCTTTGCTTCAGTTTGTCCAGATCTAAATCGCAGGTGGAGTTTTTTTTTTCTGGAGGAACTTACCAAAATAAATGATGGTCATAAATTATTCCAGGAATCTGAAGCAGAATGATGTTTTTTCGAGAACCGCCGGAGGCCTCGTTTGAATATTCTGTAAATCATCGTTTCATCGGAGGAAAGTGAAAAAAGAAATCTGCATTTCGCTTCAGATTTTTGGGAAATAAAGATTTTAAAGTTAAATCTCTGCACGTGTTAATTTAAGGTGAATTTAATCTTCAACATTTTCTTTATTTATTGAAGAACATGGTCATTGAAACAAACAGCTGACGGTTTGTTGACCTGCCACATAATAAATCATCCGTCATCAAATTACATGTTGACACTTCGCCGGCGCCTGTTTCAGGTTTTATTGCTTCATGATGTAAAACAGACGCATTACTTTTATTATTTGTGATGGAGTCTGACAGAACCGCGGCTCCGGCGGCTCCGCTTCACGCGCGGACAAACAAACCGAGGCCGCGCGGAGACGCGCCGTGCGTAATTACGCGTGAAAAATAAAACTCCCTGCAGAGCGCGTGTTTTCCGCTCTGATCCAAACACTGATCTGATGATGGACATTGACACGGGACAGGACGACGACCCCCCCCCCTCCCCCCTCCCAACCACCAGAACTCCCCCATCCTTTTAATTCAATCCCGCAGATGTCACAGACAGCCCGGGCTTCACTTTACAAACACGTTTCCTGTCAAAATAAAACTGTTTCCGTTCAATATCAATATGATTGAAGAACTAAAGACTTTATATTTACTCTTGATTTAATTTTCTTACCAGAATAATGAACTACATTCTGACACAGCTCAGATTTCCGTTTAAATCACCTTTATTTCTTTACAATAAAAACAGAAACAGAGAGGATCATGTGACAGAACTCAGGATAAAATCTTCAGGATTTTATTGAAGCAAAAATAAAATGTTGAAATATTTTTCTTTGTAATCAAACAGCTGGATGTGTGGACAGTGGTGTTAACGCGTCTCTCCGCTTCCTCCCAGTCAGAGCACTCAGTAAAGAAGACTCCAAGGAGGACGAGTGCGGCCGGAAGGACGAGAGTTTCTCCATGGACAGTGACTTGGACTACAGCTCCGATGACAACCTCACCTCCATGTGCCACAAGGAGGACGGGGACGGCGGCGGCCTGGATGACGGCCCGCACCTGCACGGCTCCTCCGGCGGCGGCTCCGGGTCCGGCGGGGGAGCGGGGAGCGGCGGCGGCGGCGGCAAGAACCGGCGGCGGCGGACGGCGTTCACCAGCGAGCAGCTGCTGGAGCTGGAGAAGGAGTTCCACTGCAAAAAGTACCTGTCGTTAACCGAGCGCTCCCAGATCGCGCATGCGCTGAAGCTGAGCGAGGTGCAGGTGAAGATCTGGTTCCAGAACCGGCGCGCCAAGTGGAAACGGGTCAAAGCCGGGAACGTCAACAACAAGTCCGGGGAGCCGTCCCGGAACCCCAAAATAGTGGTCCCCATCCCGGTGCACGTGAGCCGCTTCGCAATAAGGAGTCAGCACCAGCAGATGGAGCAGGCCAGACCGTAGAAGAAGAAGAGCCCGGACTGAGACACGAGCCGCTTCTCCAGTGACTGAATCCCGTGTTGATGCTTTTATTCTCTTCAAACAGATTCTTCAGTTTCCGGCAAATTTAACATGAAATAAATGTCGGTTCAGTTCCCGCTCTTCACTCACTCACTCACTCACTCACTCACTCACTCACTCACTCACTCACTCACTCACTCACCTCTGTGCTTTTATTTAGTTTCATTTGTGGCAGATTTTCAGTTTATTTCAACATGAATCTGATTTTCAGAACAAACGTGGCACCGAATTAAAAAGCAGTTTATGTGACTATAATATAAAATATATGTTTAACATTGATCATCAAACTAAACAGAAAACATGATGTTCCTTCTTCAGATTCAATGTTTGAACCAAATAAAACCTCAGCTCAGACCATGAGCTGATGTTTCTCACTTCCGGTTTTGTAGGTTAATTATAACATTAACTCATCATCTTTGGTTTTAAATCAGATTTTAAGATGAACAAAACTTTGCTGAATTTCAAGTGTTTTATTGTTTTTTTTTAAGATTTAAATCAAATTAGTTTGATCAGGAACAGGAAGTTAAATCGTCTCATGAATCTATAGTAAAATAAAATCAGCAAGCTGTTTGTTAAAGACAGACGTTTCTCAAATATTTTAATTTCATTTTTGAGTAAGACAGTGTAATTATGGGTCAAATGTGGCAGTGAAGTTACAGAATTTCACTCTTTCCCAACGGAGTTTGGTTCCAATTACAGAGGACGGACGTTTTTGACAGGTCACATTAACAGATCTTTAATTACATTTCTGAATCTGACAATGTGATTATGACTCAAATGTCGCAGTGAGTTTAGAAAATCCCACTTTTTCTTAACGGAGTTTTCATCAGAGAAAACGGCGTTTGGATTCCAGATCCGTCTGAATTTAACCCGATTTGTTTTGTTGTTTTTTAAAGATGATTTCAGGCTTCACTCTTGTCTTGCTCTTCACAGGAAATTTAAAAAACAAATGTGAAGCCTCAACACGAGACTGAGTGACTCGTGAAGCGGGACATTTCTCTGCGGGAGGATCCGCAGTGTTCACAAACATCTCATCTCTTTTTGGAGCGACACCAAAAATCTGCGCGTAAAGACACGGAGAGGTCACGCGCCGCTGAGGAGGAGGATGATGATGATGATGATGATGATGAAGAGACAAAGTGACATGTTGCACCTCCCACATGTAAATACACACGGGACCAAACTGAGGACATGACGTGTAGATTCACGGCGCGTCACTTTCAAACATTGTTGTTGATTTCAAACAGTTTTTACGAAGCTCGTGTCTGTTGCTACTGAAGATCTGAACCTTTGGATCAAACTGTTTCTGCTTCATTTGGTTTGTTTCTCTTCCTTTGGACAAAGTGACGCTGCTAATTTATTTATATAAAAATTGTGCAAAAGTAACTAACATTCCCTGAAGATATACAAGTGTGAATTAAAAGATGAACCGTGACCAGATGTTAACAGCTGCACAGTCTCCATTCATGCTCTGGATTTACGACCTGTCACTGAACGTCACACTCTTCTCCACCAGAAATCAGCTCACACACAAAACACTAAAATCACTATTTATATAAATGACAGTTTCATAGCACACGTCTATAACTGTCCAGATGTTGCTTAAAAAAATAAGAGTCCCGATTTCTTTGATTTTATTTTGAAGGCCCAATTTTTTTAAGGCCACAAATCTTCACATCAGATTTCAGAAATGAAGAAACAGCGGTTTGAAAATATTTAGCAATTTATCCTCCATTTTTAAATCTTCATAAATATTAAATAACCGGTAGAAAAAAATAATGTTTTTTCACTTCTATTTAAATGTGTGTTTTTTTTACACAAAAAAAGGCAGAAATAAGCGAAAGAAGATTTTCCACCTTAAACATCAGAGGATATTTTATTTTATTAACAGGATGCGTTCATGTGTCATAATTAACCTCAGACAGATGAGTTTGTTTTGGTTCAACTGGTTAAATTTGGTTGAAAGCATCCTTCATCTTCCATAATGACGTCAGGTGACTCAAACAGGTAAATAAAAGTCATATATAAAGTTTACATACCTTGGTCACAGCGCTGGGTGTTGTCTCCAGGTACAGACACAGGTGTGACGTGTCGTTCCCTCCGGTCATCGATCTACCTGAAAGCTCAACTCTGGCGACCCCGGTGTCTCCCCCCGACAGTCTGTGACGTCAGCCAATCACCAACACCTGTGGGTCAGCAGACGCCAGGTGAAGTGACAAACAAAACAAACTTTGTTTCATCCTCTGAGCTCAGAAACTTTCACAAACTCTCAAATAAACGTGAAAATAAACGTTAAACGCACCGGAAACACGTGTCGGTTTGATCAGTCGGATCCAGGTTCTGTCCAATCCGGTAAAAATCCACATGACGAGACACAAATCCACCGACACCGACACTGACCCGCGGGTTTTCTTCAGTTTTCTACAGAATCTGCTTCACTCGTTTCTTTTCAACGTGATTCGCGATTTTACGGTTAAAAATGAAAAACAAACAAACTCCATCTTCTGCAGATAAACAGACGTGTCCTCCGTCTCATTCTGACACACCTGTGCGTAACGATGCACGCACGTACGGCGTGTTGCCATAGCAGCAGGTGTTAGAGTTCAGACACCGCCCCAGAATTTACGTTTAACCTCCTTTTTTGACGTTTTAAAAAAAGATTTTATAAAGTTTATTATTAGTCGATGGTCAGAAAATAATTCAGCAGCTTTTTGATGATTGATTAATTATTCAGATAATTTTAAAGAAAAAAAAAACTCAACTAGCAGCTTCTCAGATGTGATAATTTTATCATAATAATATGATCATTTACTGCTGTTCTCTGTTAAATATCAAAGTAAACTGAATATTTTTACTTATACTTTTGGACGTTGTGGAATAAATCAAGACACGTGAACGCCTCATCACATTAAAATAATTCACAGATTGATCAATAATGAAAAATAGTTTGCCTAATCGTTGGTTGCAGCATTTCCTGGTTAAATTCCATGTACGTTTAAAACAACTTTTCGACTGAAGTGAATCTCATGAAAGGAAAAAGAAAGAAGCTTATTTCCTTTAATAAACGTAGATTTCTGCTCAAAAAGCAACAGCAACGTTAATGTTTGCGTCTGTTTTCATACAGAAACTCAGGAACTGATTTAAATTTTAGATTTCACAGAAAATTGAATGGGTCTAATTTTACACGTTAAGATGGGTCTTAAAATCTGTTATCCGAGTCTAATGAAAGAAAAGCTACTCGGCTGCATTGTGGGAAATGAAGGATCCAGGAAATTGAGTGACACTAGAGATTAAAAATGAGGATTTCTCCGCCTTCATTTTTGACCAGAATCCGTCTCCAGCTTCAACAGTGACACTAAATTACTTCAAGAACATACAGCAAAAACAATATCCAGGAGAAAGATCATTCATCTCTTTAAAGGTCAGTGCTCCTGAGAAAAAGCTGTGATCTCGACCCGGATCCCGGCTGTGAAACTCTGAGCCAACTGTTCAGACTGAGGTCACATCACCACAAGTCCAACGTTAGAGGTTTTGGCTTGAACATGTTCATGTTGAATGTGACTGAGTCACATGATGCGACTCTAACCTGCCGTGTGAACACGGGAGCGTCTCTGCGTGGCTACAAATGAATTTTTTTGCAAATTGTAATCAACCCGGGCCGTCACGGTCGGCTGATAAATGAGACCCGGGGGATCGGCCGAGGCCGAGGCTCCTCTCTGCAGCACCCCCCCCCTCCTCCCTGCCTTCCTAAATTAACAACAACCTGCCTGGGCTTCAGATGAACTCCTGCTGATTAATCCTGATGGAGCCACGGCGACCAAGGAGGCCAAAAAACCCACTGTGTGTGTGTGTGTCGTCTTCTTCTTCTGTGGTGGTCTCCTCTGCTGTCTGAGGGTCAAAGTGTCAAAAAGGAAACGACACAGACTCACGATCTGAATGATGTGTTAATACAATAATATGAATCCTGAGTTTCTACATCAGGAAACTTAAAAACTCACCTGAGCCGGAACAGAATAAGAGAAACATGAACACCTGGGTTTATATTAAGAAGCATTATTCTTGTCTTTATTGAAAAGAGACACACATTACAGTAGAAGACTCTGTATTAGGTAAAATTTTTCAACAACGGTACTGTACAGCCAACAAAAGTCAATAATAATAATAATTTTTAGAATAACAATGACAATGAGAACAATATGTGTCTGGATGATAAATCATAACAATAATAAAACATGGATGGACTGGAGAGGTCGGAGGAAAATATACAAAATCGCAGGTCTGAGTGGGAGGGATCTTTCTTGCTAGGTGGGTTTATAAATAATGTGGTGGGCAGGCCTGGTGGGTGGAGCTTAGGGGTAAAGGCTACATGAGGTAACACAACCAGACAAACCAAACGTTGACCATACGGAGTCGTTTTTTTTCTTCGTTTTGTTGTTTAAAGTCTATGTACAGGTGAGGCGGTGCAGACGGTGACGGGCAGCGACATTAGCGCTGACGCAGTTTCCGTGGTTTCCAGAGCAAAGACGGTTTATTTACCACCAGGAAGCTTCAGTCGTTCTAATCTAACGCTTGTGATGTCTGAGCTAACAGCGCTAGAAAATATACTGCGCCGCGCTGTTGTCCGTTAGCTGAGTTTAGCTAACAGATGCTAGCTGCAACGGGAGTTTCACAGGATGTTTTTAATCTTGAATCTGTTTTGAATTGAACAGTAGGTGCTACTGACTGAAGAAGCTAATGTAAAAACAAACTTAAAAAACAATAGCTGTAGTGGAAACAGTTCATGTACTGAAGGAGATTCAGCAAGTGTATTATCATTTCTGTTAGCTAAACTCAGCTAACGGACGCTAGCTGGGGGTGGAGCTTCACAGGAAGTTTCTAGTCTCAAAACATTTCCTCGTTTGGTTTTGTGTTTAGAAAAACAAGGAACAGGTTCAAATGACTTGAGGGAAAACAGTAAAGTTTACACCAAAGTTTAAACCATGCTAGCTACAGTTAGCTTCAATAGCGGATGACTCAGCAGTTTCTGTGCCTTCAAACAGAGTTCTCACTGTTAGCTGAGTTAGCTGGTTGACTGCTAGCTGTGTCTGGAGCTTCACGTAACGTTTTTATTTTTAAACATTTTCCAACTTTTCATGTTTCAACTTTTAACATGAACGGTAATGTAGAAAGTGTTAGCTTGCAAACTGAAACTAAGCTGCCATGCTACCGGGCTCATAGCTAGCAGTGAGGGTTAGCTTTACTTCTGTGCCAGTTAGCATTTAAAAGGAGACAGCACCGAGCTTTTAATGCTCCTGTTGAGTTGAATTAATGTCATTTTACTGTGAAAGCAGACCTGTTTGTTTGCATGTTGAAATCCTGTGACAGATTATTTTGGTGGCTACAATAATTTAAAAGCAGATATCATCATTCTTTCTCTGCACCTGTGAACTTAAATAAACATTTCTCAAATTTTGAAACTAAAGTAAGAGCACAAATGAGTTTAGAGGAAACCGCCAGAAGCTGCCACCGCTTAGAAAAATGCCAAAATAAGAGAAAAAGAAAGCTGTAGTGGGAAGAGTCGGGCTTAAGACGGACTGAATCAGATTTAGTGCATTTCTGTCATAAATAAAAGGACATCTTTGCCCTGTCTTTCTGTCCTGCTTCAGGACAGACGCGGGACGAGTCAATTATAAAAACACAAAATAAAAACACAAGTTCAACCCCTTGGTTTAGTATTAACGGGGGATCCAACGCCATCTTTGAGATGACTGGTGGGGGAAATAATGGGGGCGTGGCACGTTTAGAAAAGGGTTGGACGAAATTAGAAACATAAAGGCGCAATGTGTAAAAAAAAAAAAATGGCATAAGGAGGAAAGTTTTAGTGTTTTTTTTTCTTTTAAATATTTCTTACATTTCCACAAACAGAGCGTTTGTGGTTCGATGAAGCGACGATGCGACAGTGAAGATGAGTTTGTGGATATTGCTTCCATACACAGTCGGGCTGAGAGCCGCTCCTCAACCTCTGCGGAAAAACGTCTCTGTGAAAGTCTGAGGACGAAACAGTGACGAGGGCGGAGACGAAGAATCGTGCTGAAATAAATCATCACACACGTCGAGGTGACGGAGCGTCTTTCCCGACAGTCCTGATCAGAGACGCTCAGTCCGCACGTCTCACGCTCCAGACACCAACACAAAACATCTGCGCTCAGTCCGATCTACGCCGACGTCACCAGGCTGACAGAGGTGTGGAAAAGACATCAAACCTGAAATTAACTTGAATTAACAACATTCATGATTCGTTCCAAGTGGATCTTTAAACCGCTGGTTCCCAACCTGAAGATGCGTTTCACATCTGTCCGCGTGCCAGTGGTTTCAATAAAACCTCACACCCAGCTGCTGTAAGAGTGAGACAGAGTCTGGAGGAGCATCACAACAGTGACATTAGATTGGACCTGCTGTGATCTGGGTTCACTGTTCTGCTCGCTCACAACTTCAGGTGTGTAAGGTTCAAACTTGACTTTTACTGAGACAGTGTGAAGAATATTTCTCAGGAACCGTTTAGACTGTTCTGGTCTGGACTTTCTCTCGTGGTTATTTGGTCTCAGTCCTGAGTCACATTTTAACTTGACCCTGTTAAGACTCAGTATCCACTCAGACTTATTTGTATTTGGACACGGCTTGATCTCATCTGGACTCTTGGACATACATCCAGGATTTCTCCAGGTTGGGGACCAGTGGCTCAGACTCCTGGTTACCTGTTAAACCTCCTGGCCTGGTGGATCAGCGTGACACTGAGCGAAAACACACGACATTCAGTCAACGTGGAGGTGACTTCTTCCTGACATTAAAACGGATCACCTCCACTCTGCGACCCGACACACAGTCAGTTCATCTCGTGTTCTCTAATTTACACCACGTCCCCGTCGAAAGAGAGAGAGTGACAGAGGAGGAGAGAAGATTATTTACAATAGGTTTCCACACTAGAGAAGAAGAAGAAGAAGAAGAAGAAGAAGCCCTTCTTAGTGATTCGCTGAGCAGATCAGGCAGAGCGTCTGATTGGACGAGACAGATGAAAGGCTGAGGGTAATGGGAGGGAACTCCCTGTGATCTCGTTCAGAGGTCATTACAGATAAATCTTTACACACTTTACACGTTGATCTCGGTTCTTGTGTCACGTTCACGTCTCAGGTTCCTGATTCTGAAGAGAGGTTTAGAGTTTGTAGCTCGTCTCATCATCACTGATTCGTTAACAGCAGATTATATAAACCGAGCTCATTAAAAACTGAACACCTGAACGAGGAGAAGCAGATCGATTCCCTTTTTGCTCCGTGTGACTGTTTTGCTTCTTAGCTGCTTCTTGTCTCTTCCATTCGTACAAGTTATAACAACAAAGATTCAGGGAAACTTTACATCGAATGTTTACGACCAGGATCTAAATCAGGTTTGGGTTTAAGATGTTTTCAGCTCAGTCGATTCAGAGTGAAATCAACATACGCAGCTACTCTGAGAACTGATTCATCTCTCAGGTCAATTTCTAACCACAAAATCATCAGTTCCTGTTTTTAATATTTATATTTATTTGCTGGATTTCTTTCTGGGAACTTGTGACAGTTTTTACATCATGTCGTCCAGTCCGACAACCTGCTAAACAATTACCTACAAAGTCTTTCACTTTACTCATTTTTGAAATTGTTGTCGGGGTTTAAATTGGATTAAATGCTGAACTGAGTGAAGTGAAAACAGTCCAAACCCAAACTCCTGAAGGCCTGACAGGGAAAAGATGACGGGGTGTTTACGATCGACAGTCTCCGGTCCCTGAGCCTGGAAAGAGCTTCTGTACATTTAATGACTTTATACACCTGAAAACAAAAATCCCCTTCCCTGTGTTTTAACCATTGGTCCAGCAATGCACATCGACATGAATATACACAATCCAGGAAAAACCTTAAATTAAAATAGAAAAAAAAAGCAAAAATAAGTGTCTAGGACATGCGATCTATCACACTTCTTTTACCGCTAAGAACTGATCTGAAATCTGTTTTTTTACACCGAGATATTTTCACATTAAAAGCGTGTGAAGGCAGGAGAGTTCACAGAATTCATCAAAGAAAAAGGAATCCAGGTGAGAGCAGGTGAAACACTGACGCTGCAGGAGGGTCGGAGGGGGAGGAGTCCTCCAGTGACTCAGAGCGATGATGATGATGATGATGATGATGATCAAAGGCCTTCCTGGAAAAGCAGTTGTGTTTGTGGGCGTGGTCTGAGGATGTGAAGACCCGCCCCCTCATGATATTTTCATTCTCACAGTTTCTTTATCTCGTTTCCTGTTCAGACCGAAGAAGATATGTTTTGGCGGGAAAGGAAAGAGGGCGTGGATTCTGATTGGTTGTTGGGTGAAAAGCAGAGTGATGCTGGACGAGTCCTTCGAGGAGTTTCTTTGAGTTTGAGCGGGAACTGGCCGTGTAGTGTTAAATGATGAGGTATGATGTCCGTCGAGCTTCAGACTGTGCCCTGATTGGCCGTCATCAGTCATGTGATTATTTCCCAAAAAGCTCTGATGAGCCATGAATGTCTCTTGATGACGAACCGAGCTCGGATGATTGTGGACCACATTTCCCAGCATGCTTTGGGTGGTTTTTTTTGTCCTGTCGAGGGCTCTCCCAAACAGACGCAGCGTCACCACTGACCTCTGATCAGTTTTAGTCCTAACGAGCCGTCAGCGGCAGTGGTGGTTGTCGGGTGAAGTGGGCGGGGCTTAAGAGTCACAACAGGTAGTGGTTCCCAAAATAAAAGGTCAGGATTCTCTGTGTTCGTTTCCCGTAGAGAGTCACATGGTTATAAATGGTGGTCATATGAGCGCGGTGCTCCCGGCGCTGCTGCAGCTGTTGTTGCGGTTGGTGTTGCGGCGCGACAGGTTGGGCGTGGCCATGAGCGGGAAGCGCTCGTCGGGACAGCCGTACTGAGCCAGCGTGTCCACACACTCCTGACTGTTGGCCTGCCGGGCGTACGCCATCGCGCTGTTACCGTGGGCGTCCCTCGCCATCAGATCCACGCCGTACTGGAGGGGGAGGGGCAGAGAGAAAATCAGAGTCAGTTCAGACTGGAGACGATTCTGATAAATGATCAATCACAGATTTATTGATTTATTTCAGCAAACTGAATATTTCTAGCTTTCACTGCTGGTTGGACACAAGGACAAATTTTAAAATTCATCAGACGCCATTTTGTTAGCCCAAAATGACGTCTGATGATCAGGAGTAATTTTCCCGCTCTCACCCAGATGAGCAGCTGTGTGATGACCACGTTGCCCTTGCGGCTGGCCAGGTGCAGCGCGTTGCGTCCGTCTCCTTCTCCGCACGTCTCGTTGACCTGCTGGCGGGACCCGTGGGCGAGCAGCAGGACGACGGCGCGCAGGTCCTCCTCGGCCGTCGCCCTCAGCAGCTGCTGGCCCAGAGAGAGGTCGGTGCAGGGCAGCGACGCCACGAACAGACGCTGCTCGTACTTCGCCCGGATCCAGCGCTCCCTCTCCTCCCTGACAGACACAACACAGGGACGGACAGACAGGAAGCAGTGACAGGTGAGACAAGTACATTCCTTCAAAATAAAACTTCCTGATCTAGAGAAATGATCAAGCCTGTGATTTTTCTTGTGTGGAATACAAAGATTTGTCCATTAATCTGTTAAATAACTAAATAAATTCAGTTACAAAGCCGTTGAATTGTTCCCTTCTCCTGTCCAACATGATCCCCAAACGGCCCCCCAGTGTAAAATAAGACACAGTGAGAGACAGAGGGACAGACGGGGTGAAAGGCGAGGGGACGTGGACACATTGTTCACCAATCGAGTGTCATTAACTGCTGATGTGTCTAATCCACGACTCTGATCGCTCTAATCTCTGCTCAAATCCCTCCGTGTCAACAGCAGCTCATTCAGCCGCCGGGATTAGTCCAGGAGAGAGGGACAGGGAGGGGGGAGGAGGACGACCCGGGGGGAGAGATATTGAGCTGTCCCCTCCTCCTCCTCCTTAACAAAATAACAACACCTCCTCCGGGGGGAGGGGGGGGGTGGGGGGGGGGGGGCGCAGGAAATGGAGAAGGAGACACAACAGTGGCTTCTCACAGGTTGATGCTTCCACCATGAAATGACTCCAGTGACTGTGAGTGTGTGTGTGTGTGTGTGTGTGTGTGTGTGTGTGTGTGTGTGTGTGTGTGTAAAAGGTCAGTAACAAATTAAACACAAAGATAAAATAGAACAGAATTAAAAACCTTCATTACATGGAGAAGTTTAATGCTGGAGATCAAACAACAATATTTTTCTTGTGTCTCGACTGAAACGTTGAAAGAACTTGTGTCTGTAAAACCAATGATTATCTGAACAGATCAATCCTCATGTTTCTAACTGTAGTTAAAGTAGGTATTGAACAGAATCGGTTCTGAACGTTAGGTGTCATATCGTCATTAAAACTGATGATTAAGTAGGAAACAAACTGCCTTTAGTGTCGACAACAACTCTGAAATGACTGAAATGAAAAACATGTTGAGCACGTTAAAGGTTTTAATTATCATTATTTTCTAAACTGAAACTATAACTCCTGATCTCGACGTAACGTTTGAAGCTTTGAGGCCATTTTGTCTCTCAGGTCAAAGAGTTTTTATCTCGTTAAAATGAGGTGATTGTGTTTCACTGATGAAAACTTCAAGATCTTTCATTAGATTTCTTCTTCATGATCTTTGACTCTGTGACTCCGGGTCAGAAACAGTATTTTAAATTTTAACTGCTGCCACTTTCAGGACATCGTCTCGCACTAACATGACGAGTATTTGTCCTCACATTAATTACCGCAGACACAGAAGATAGAAACGCTCCGAGAGGTTTTCCTGATTGAAATAAAGGTGAAGTAAAATGGCCGCCGACATCGGGAGCGGCTCGTCTCTGAGGTTTGATCCGACTGTCAGAGGTGAATGTGATGGAGACCAACTGTGGGAAAAGAAGACGAGGCAGAGGAAGAGTTTGTGGTCGGTGTGGGAACCTGGCAGAATCTCATTAAGTCCCTTCCTGGAGACCAGTGTGTGTGTGTGTGTGTGTGTGTGTGTTTTGGGGGGTGTGGTGGCGGCTAGCATCACGGAATGTCCCGGGGGCTTTTCCTTCCTGCCCCGGCCCAGAGAGAGAGCAGGGAGGCTGGGCACGAGACTACGGCCGACAGCCCCCGGACAAAGCCTGGAGGTGTCACTCAGTGTGTGTGTGTCTGTGAGAGAGAGTGTGAGTGTGTGTGTGAGTGTGTGTGTGTGTGTGCGCTCAGCGGGGCTCTGGCCTTCTGTCCTCCAGAGGACAGGGAGGAAATGTGAGGCCACTGGACCCAGGAAACGCATGCCTTCCCCCGCCGCTGGAGTTGCTAAGGGCCTGGCCGAGTGTGTGTGTGTGAGTGTGTGTGTGTGTGTGTGTGGGGGGGGGGGTTCAGATCTTTGTTGTACAGCTACACTGATAACCAGGATTATTTAACCCATGATTTAGATCAGTTTCTGCCACGTTCAGCAGCAGCTCAGCTTCCAGGGGACGGAGGCAAATAACACCTTAAGTTTTCTACTAAAGTTTGACACTTAGTTTAATTTCTCCTTAGCTGAGGAACACTCTTCATGATGTTCATTTCCTTCATATATTTACCATAAACTCACCATGTTAAAGTTAAGATGGCGTTTCACTAAGGTCTTTTGTGCGAAGGTTTAACTGACTTTAAGTGATTCCTTAAGTATAAGACTAAGATAAGGACAAAACCTGAAATCCTTCAGTGAACATTTTAAGGAAACCTGTTTTCAGAAACCATTTATTTATTCATGTTAAGGAAACTTTAACTCAGACTTTAAGGAAAATCTTAACTTAAGGTGTTTTGTGTAAGTGGCTCCAGGTTCTTAATGTGCAGATCACATGATTCTCTTTGTCAGTGACCTGAGTGTCAATCATAACTGACAGTAATCGATTAATTGATAAAATATTTGGTTGATTATTATTTGGTTGACGCTGCACGACACCAGTGCACGTGTAAACACACCGACTGCGAGGCTGCGTTCACAGACGTCACCTCTCTTCAGACGCAATCATGGCCGACATGTTCAGGTGTCCACATATTTGTGGCCATGTAGCGGATTAGCAGCAGAGTCTCAGTTTTAGATTTACATTTCACCACATGACAAATGTCTTTGTTTGTGTGTTGGTGTGTGTTGTTTGGGTGAGTTTGGTGTGTGTTTGTGTTTTAGTTAGTGTGTGTCTGTGAGTGTGTGTTTGTGTGTTGGGTTAGTGTGTGTCTGTGAGTGTGTGTTTGTGTTTTAGTTAGTGTGTGTCTGTGAGTGTGTGTTTGTGTTTTAGTTAGTGTGTGTCTGTGAGTGTGTGTTTGTGTGTTGGGTTAGTGTGTGTCTGTGAGTGTGTGTTTGTGTTTTAGTTAGTGTGTGTCTGTGAGTGTGTGTTTGTGTTTTAGTTAGTGTGTGTCTGTGAGTGTGTGTTTGTGTGTTGCAGTAAACAGCGACTCTCTGTCATCATGAGCTAACGAGTCCTGAAAACACACAGCTCTGGACAGTGGAGAGGCTAATTGCACTAATTAACCACACAGTGTGTATGTGTGTGTATGTGTGTGTGTGTGTGTGACAGTATGTGTTAACATGTGTCTACTGAATGCACACACTCATATTTTGTGTGTTAATCTGTGTGTGTGTGCATGTCCCTTTTCACATCCCATTAGACGGAGCGCTGTGCTCCAGCACCGAGGCATGCTGGGTAGATAATTAAACATGAGCCCCGGTGAGATGGCTTGTCATGGGGAAACACACACACACACACACACACACACACACACACAACACACACACACACCACACACACACACACACACACACACACACACAACACACACACACACACACACACAAAAAACACAGTGCTAATATGTCAAACGGAGCCCAGAGGGGTTGTTGTGTGTGTCAGTTAAATTAAAAGATAAAAATTACACCAGCTACAGAAACAAACAGATTCAGAGACATGAACCTGAACGCCTCTGATTCTACTGATTCTACTGATTCTACTGTCTCTACTGTCTCTACTGTCTCTAACACAAACGACTCCCTCTCTGTCCGAGGTGTGACGCAGTAGAAACGACTCTGACCTTCATTTGATTTTATTATTATAAGCCGCCGGCTGAAACTGAGACATTATCTTAAAATTTAAAATCAGTTTCTGTTTTTGTTCTATTTTACAGTTTTATTCTTGTATCAGTTTTTTTTGTTCCCACTTTGGTGAAACCAAAACAGCAAATTAAACATTGAGACGATCCGGATTTGTAGAGACTTTAATCTTTTGAATGTATCATTAATAGTATTTGTGTTATTAGTATTTACATTTTTGTTTTAAATTACATTTAATGTCGTATGTTGATTACTGTTATTTAGCTGTCATTATAATGTGAATATACGGATCTATTTTCCGCTCAGTCCTGATACACAGTTGAAATCTGAATTATCTTTTGTGTCCTGATGTTTCTACCTGCTCACGCAGCACCTGAGGAGGGGACCTGTTGATTGACAGCTTCATCAGCTGCTGTGTTTTTGGTGTCAGGTTGTGGTCGCCGTTGGAAACGGTGGGGCGTAATGTGATTTTGTTTGGAGTCACTCAGGGAGCCACACTGGGCCCACTGTGCTTCTCTGATTTCCTGCCTGTTGTTTGCCCTCATTGTGTGTGTGTGTGTGTGTGTGTGTGTGTGTTTTTGTGTTTGTGTGTGTGTGTGTCGACGTTCCCCCTGAGCGGCTGCTTTGTGAGGTTGTGTTTACATACACACTGAGTTTCCTGTCCGTCCACAGCCTGAGGGTGTCTGTGCGAACCGACTGACTGACCACCGCTGGACGTCCCACCAGCTGCTACCCCTCTCTCTGTGTGTGTGTGTGTGTGTGTGTGTGTGTGTGTGTGTGTGTGTGTGTGTGTGTGTGTGTGTGTGTGTGTGTGTGTGTGTGTGTGTGCTTTAGGGGGTCAGAGAGCTGAAAGCCGGCACACACACCCCAATAATCACACCAGACTAATTATCATAATTACCTGTAACAAAACCCAAAGACACACGACAGCGTTGATGTCCGATCATTTCTCTCAAGAAGAAAACTGCAGCTTCCTCTTCCTGTATTTACTGTGTCTTTACATTTCAGAATAAAAGCATTACAACATGAAGTCGTTGAGCATGAAGGAGAAATTTTAAAACTCCTCGTCTTACGTCACAATATGATGATTCATCTGACACTCGTTGGAGAAGCTGCAGCTTTACACAAACATCACGTTGCTGCTCAAAAAAAATCCCAGAGAACTGGAAACATTTGAAAAAGACGAAGCTGTCAGTCTCATCTCAAAGCTTTCTATCATCGTCTGCAGAGACATCAGATCATTATCTGAGTTATTTGACCAGAGATGATCAGACGTCAACGCTGTTGTGCGTCTTTGGGTTTTTGTTTCAGGTAATTATGGATTATTTATTAAAGATTAAACTTCTAACAGCTTCGTGGTTAA